GGCTAACAGTAGTTAAAACAATAACAAAAAAAAACCCAACAAAACATTTTGAGTTTAAGAAGCAACTTAGTCTGCTGCATTTATCATATGATCAAGTATTCTGGTCATAATTGCTTTTCTCCTTAGGTAGCAACAACTGCTATCACAGAAATTTTGACAGTCAAGCAGTCCCAGCCCAGTGTGGAGGGTTGTGCCCAGCAGATCTCCAAACCCAATCTATTGCTGGCAACCTCTGTCCTGGCACTACATTGCTGTGGTTGTGTTGTGGTGGCAGAAATAAAAGGGAAATAAGAAAGTAGAAATAGTAACCACCCAATACAGGGAACAAACTATCCATCCTGTGATATTTATTAAATGCACACTACATATTTTTTCATATAGCTAAAGCTTTAGTAAGGCCTATGAGTTCAATACTTCCTTTCTTAAAAAAAAAAAAAAACACCCCAAGATCTAGGATTGCAGTTCTTCCTGCTTTTCCTCCAGCAAGGTAAAAGATGCTAATGTAAAAAGGCAGAACAAATGGGCTCTTTATTTTTGCAGGACAAAGAGCATTTGAACTCCATCAGTGGCTCTTTGACTGCCTTCAAAGCTTGTCTATGACTAAATTAAAGCCTCTGCTCGCTGCTGATTTGTAGTACACTGTAGGCTTTCCATGGCACTAGCAGCTAGATGCACGTAATAACTATCTTACAATAACACAGCTAATGAAAAAAATCAGAATTAAGATTTAGGAAGGGCTATGTCCTCACTCGATGCAAAGTAGAGTAGCTCCCCTAAGATCAATTTTTATTATGCCACTTTACAGTGGCTCAGAATCTGCCCCCTAATTCAATGAGCTAGCTCAGAGAGAAAAGTCTTAACCTTATCCTGTATAACCAGGGTAGCACATTTTGAGGTCACTAATAACATTAAATAGTTTAACTGGAATTAAAGTGATTTTGTGAAGTTAGAAAAGCACAATTTAGCAGATGAACCAGCAAAATTGGCCCCAAAGTAGGAAACCACTGATCCTCATCTCACTTAATTTAAAAGGCATTCCTGTGAAATGTGAGGTTATCTGAGTACAAAAAAACCTCAACCACAACAACAAGGAGGAGAGCAGAAGAACACACAGAAACCATTTACAGGGTCATGTGCCTGATGCATTGGCATTTCTACACTATAACATTACAGTAACTGGGTAACACCTAAAAATTTACATATGGCAGGGTTAAGGGGTTAACTTGTGCCATTAAAGCAAAAATGCACATTTATTTCCCCTTTCCTCACTGCAAGGCTGCCACTGCACTCCTGAGTGAGAAGAGTTGTACATGTTGGAAACCTTGCTGTGGGAAGAGAAAAAAGTGATCCCAGAACAACCTCTTTTAAATGTGAGAATGGGGTAAACAGCGCTGGCTTACCCTCTATTTTTCCTGCATAAAGTGACAGGAATAGTTTGGCATTGTTGAACTAAAGCAAATAAATTTGGAGTTTACGCTTAAATTACATTTAGTCTACTCATACCAGCACCACTGCAGTTTTCAACCAGGTTACACTACAGCTAATAAGTTTTGAAAATGCTTTAAAGTCACTCATTGATTTTCATTACAGAAATCCAAATACCAACTCATGAGAAACTCCCTAATGATAACTAGAACAATAACCTTAAATTGCTGTAGTGTTTTCTTTTAGGCAGTGCAGTTTACCTTGTCTTCAGTGTTTAGAAAATGAGAAAATATTTCAAGGAGATGAGCCTCAATGGAGATAATATTTCTATAGTAATATCAAGTCCTCTTATGATGAGACTATCCATGAAAGAATTCACTCACAAATGCGAGGCTGCTCCCAACAATTTGAAGTTTCAAGATGGTGAAGAGGGAAAGCAGAGAATGAACTTTCTTTTGCATCCATTGGAAATAAATCTAAATTGCTCGAATTAGAACAATAAAAAATCATAAAAGCACCATACAGGAGTGTGCAAGGTTATTACCATAGGCACTTGTTAAAATCATGAACACAGGACCAAAGCAGCAAAGATTCACTGGAGGCTGCAAGTCAGGAATGGAAATCCTTTACGTGCACTTTATCGGGAGAAAGAAAAATATTCCCATTTATCATCTTTTTTATTTTATTTTAAGACCCATTTTTCATCTATTTTATTCATTCATTACATTATCATTCAAATGATGAATTCTAAAGCAACTGATTATTTCATTCCTATCATTTAGAACTGTGCAGTTTGAAAGAGACATTAGGAGAGCAGTTAGCTGGGAGAGAGAAGAACATATGATTGATAAATAAAAGAGAAAACATACATGCTTAGCGTGTGTTACAAATTTGAAATAAGTTGCTTTGGCACAGCCATGAGACAAATCCTTCCTGGAGGAAGCAGAAGGGATTAGTAATTACATCAAAATATTAATGTCCTAGTTGACTTCAGTGCCCAGCAGGCAGATGCTTTTCCAAAAGTTGTGAGAACTCGTGTGCTACCATATAAAATACATGAACTGAGCAATAAGGGGTAGGAGGAACTGGATTGCTTCTTTTTTCCACCTCCCACTCCATTACATTGCATACAGTGGAGAATCTGTATAGGTCTCATGGCTCAATTAGTGCATGAAAACAGCAGAAACACCTGCAGGATAAGGTCCTTCTGCATTTACCATGCACCTGGATACCGGGCTAGTTATTTAATGAAAAGGAAAGTTGGTACCTTCAGCTGCCCAAGTCCATGGTGTGGCTAGCAAATAAAGTTTATTTTAATTTGACCCTTTTCAGAAATTAAGACATTTACTTATTAAAGCATAAACCTTAATTTAAAACACAGATCTCATTAGTCCAGTGGGATTGGGATTTCACCTGAAGAGCACGGTTTGGATGTTGATCATTTTCTCAGGCTCTGCACTCGTGTGCCTGCAGCTGGAACCTGCTGCAGAGCTCTGCACGTTGGGGTCTGCACCCACTGCAGAGAGGGGACAAAGTGGAAGGAGCATTTCTGCAGGCAGCCTGCCCCAGAACTTGGTAAGGCACAGACCAGGTACTGCTTCAACCACATCCCTACAGCACAGCAGACACAAATCCTCCCAAACCCATCCGCCCTGCTCCTCATCCACCCCCTTCACTCAACAGCACTTTCAAAATGTTCCAAGTTTTGTGTCTTGCTGCTCATAAAGCACAATAAAAGAAAGAGCACCTATTACCCAGCAAACACAGCAGAATCCCGTTTGTTCCAGCTAAGTATCTTTCCATTTGCTTTTTAAAGGGATTGTTTTTGTTCCTAATGATAGCAGGCTAATAATCCTGAAGGTTTATTTTTCAGGTAAAGCACTAGAAGTGTAACCAAAATGTCTTTATTAAAGCCTTTATGTTGGGATAATAAAAAAAAAAAAAGTGTTTCTGTTTTGGAAAGACCAATACACCCACAGCCTTAAGCAGTCTGCAAGTCTGAATACTAATAAACAAATAAACAGGTTGGGTTTTTACCTCCATTCACTTCAATATAAGCAAATCCATGAAGAGACATCAAACAGAAGTTTCTTTGGCTCCTATAAAATCTGTACGCAAAATATTTCAAATTAAGAGGCTCTACCTCAGCTCAAGTCAGCTCACATCACCTATGAATGGAAATAAATAAAATGTATATTTTGATCAAGATGCCAGTCTTTGCTCTGATCATTCACATTTCCTGCTGTCTAAATTGATTAATAGCCTATTTAGAGGGAAATTTGCTGCCTAAAATATGCAACTGACAGCTTAGAATTTTCTGAAGGCTGCTGGTTGCCAGTTCTGGGACTTCTTACTGTTACAGGTCATTGCACCAACATGTTGGTACATTCTTCATGACATTTTGCTGCACAGCACTAAAAAAGCAGCTGTACGTATGTGAGCAGGCATATAATCTTGTGTTTGTGAGAGTTCAGAAAAAGTTTTATCTTCTTCAGCTCTGTCAGTCACAGAAGAGAGCACAGTTTATACCTGAGTGCCCCGAGCATTGCAAATTACTTCCCCTCTCCCATTTTCTCAGCAGCTTGTGTGAAATATTGAAGCTTGGCCGTAACCACGGCTCTGTGTGTGATTGCTGCAGGCTCCCCAGTGCTGTGTATTGAGGGTGCATGGGAACAATGGAAACCCTCTCTAAAAATGCATCATCTGTCAGGATGGGAACTTATCTCTGCAGACTCCCTGGCTCTTCGCCTTGAACGCTCCGCCAGCGATTTTGTGAAATATTTTCTCTGAAACCACCGAGGTTGCAATTTCTCAGTGATGTTATTCAAATCCAGGAGAGAACGTGCCAAAACCAAGCTCTCCAAGGATGCAAGCCCTGGTAGTTCAAGCTCAAGCCACACTGAAGAGCATTGCCAGGTCTGGGAGCAAGGTTCACACCACCCTGCAGGATTCAGCTGAAGGTTTTCCATGAAATAAGGAGGAATTATGTGGTGTTTCTTTGTCTTACAGCACGCACACACACTCATAAAATCTGTGGACAACTGAAAATTAAAGGAACGTATTTCACTTGACTTGCAGCTTCAGTTTGTCACTGAAATCCTATGCAGTAAGTCTTAGTTTCAATAGCCCTCCAATGATTAATCACTTTCTATAGTTTCATGTAGTATCTCATTAGTATATTCTGGCTTACTTTCTCTACCTTGTTTAGAAGCACCAGACTGATTAGCTCAATAGCTGGTGCTGTGCAGCCAGATTTTCACCAAAGAATTTGAAGTCTTGGTTATAACCAATGAGAGAATAAAACGGAAAACAAGAGAGACAAATTAAAAAATTATTAAAGAGACCTTTTCATAGAGTTAAGTGCTGACCTCTCACTAGTAGAGTTATTATTTACAATTCTTATAAGTCACTTTAAATAAGATTTTAGAGGTAGATTACAGTGCTATTCATCTTCACCAGGAAGGAATAGAAATGGGTGAGGGAATTCTCTTTTAGATATGATTAATTTAGTTTAAAACTGAACAGTCACATAAGATCTCTGGCATTGCTGGGGTGTTAGTTTGGACAGATGACAGGATGATGGATAAGGTTTTGATTCAGCAGCACACAACAGTTTTTTTAAGCTTGTTGCAAATAAAACCAATCAAAGATGACTCATGGTGGGAAAAGAGAAAGCAAACAGGACATATAGCTGCAACAACCCTCACAGAAAGCAGGATGGCTTCAAAGAACGGCTTCCTGAAAAGAGAAAGAGGAAGAAAAAGAAGGAATCAGCTGCCTTGACAACTGCCAAGTCGTCCAGGCTAAGAACAAAGAATTCATCCTGAGGTTTGCCTAGGAAATGAGCATGTTTTCATTAACATAAAGGAAATACAAAATGGACATTTCCTTCAGAGTTCCAGAAGACAAGTCCTGGACAACTTTTGGATATAACTGGCCATGAGCTGAAGATGAAAAGAAGAGGGAGGTGGAGAAGCTGTGAGAAATAACCTTGCACACATCCCTGGAGCCCAGCAGACTCCACTTGGTCTGTCTTTTCCTGGTGTTCGCGTGCCTTCCCCAATCAGCAAGACTGTCAGAAGTAAGTACACAACTCTGAGAAAAGCACCCTCTAACTTAACTATTTTTGCTGTAGATTCAGCAAGAAAATAAGTGCCAAATGATTCCCTTATAATAGCTTCAAGGCAAAGAATGCAATTTCTCAGATGTCATTGCGGGGTTTTGCAAATATTGCTATTTACAGACTGGGCTGCACTTGAAACTCTAAGAAAAGTCACAATTTGGGTCTAGGATCCTTGAAATGATATTTTCAAAATGTACTTCCCACCTCTCATAATGCTCTTCTCAGAGACAGCATTAACTCCATGCACCTAATATGGCATGTGGAACCTTGTCTGTTAGCAAAGTAGTAACCATGTAAAAAATATTCTAGCCTGGTTTGATAAATTAGAAAACAAAGTAAACTAGACAGGTAATTAAAAGTAATAAACCAGGTTTAATTGGTTGAGTAACCATGTAGAAATTCAGTGCCAGCAGCAAAGGTATAAAATAGAGCAACTTGGGTTTTGATGTCATAAGTATCCCTGATGCTGTGGAGCCACAGTAATTTCAGATACCATGGGGAAGCTACTGCTTCATTACTATGAATACAGAAATCATTATCACACCTCATTCTATACACTTCAATAAAATACACAGTGCAGATAACTGACATCCCAGACATATCAGGAAGGTGATTAAATAGCAGGTACTCAAGAAATATTGCCAATGGGGCCCAAAAGGCATTTTTATTTTCCTGCTGGGCAAGTTAATAAGTGGCCTGATGACCCCATCTCACAGCAATACACCATTAAATCTCAATAGGAGTGATGACAAGCTGCCATAAATAAAAACATGCATCTGCAATAGCCCCCACTAAACAGGGGTTAGGTGAGGCACTTGGCTAGTGTGAGTACTTGCAGCTGGGAGCTTTATCCTTCAACGCCACAACAACGCTCCAGGAGACTTGCACAGGCACAGCCAGCCAGCACTGTCCAGAAGAAGTGGATGTTCTCAAAGCTCAGTGATCTCCTGAAGGCCACAGCTAGAGATAGTGAAGGTAAAGCTGTCAAATTACATTAAATGTAACACCATTCCCTTTTGACTCTCTCAGCAGAAACGTGGTCGGAGCAGCGGCACGGACGGGCCGGGCGCGGGAGGTGGGTAACCCGAGGAGCACCAGTGTGATGGGAAAGATAATGAGTAACTCCAAAAGTTATTGGCTCATTAACAATGCCCTCCAGGAAGGAATTTTCAGTCTAATAATAGAAGGAGCACAAGCACAGATTCCCAATATGATCTGCAGCCTGTTTAATTCCACTGCTTTGGGAGTAGGGCTCTTGATTTCTCCCTTTCTCTGGCACTTACATAATTTGGGCACTGAAGTGCTAACTCTATTATATGGTTCAACATGAAAACGGAGAATTTTTCAAGCTTCATTAACACACTCTTGCAAAAATTGGCCTCAACTGAAGCTCAGTCATTTTCCAAGACTCACAATCCCTAGCAGAAGTTGTTGCTGAAAATAATAAGATGCGTTTTTGAAAAGCAAAAACAGGATTACAAAATATCCCACGTGATTCAAAATGGAGAACTCAGAATAGATAAAAACTCTACAATATAATTCATCTGAATAGTATTCCTTTTGGGCCACTATACAAAATTTAATCCTAGCCATAACTGCTATGCCAAAAAAGGCCTGAGAAAACAGTCCATATTTTGGCCAGGGAGGTCAATAACACCTTCAAAATGTCTATCCCAAAATATTGGCCTAAATTTAAAAGTACAAAGTTACTGTAAGGACAATGTTTTTGAATCCTAAAAAATTCTGATTGTGTCTGTTTTCATGGAGGACAAAGAAAACTGCATTTTCCAAACCAAAGGTATCACAAGTCTCAATCAAATAAAGAACCACAGGAAAATAAATCATCTGAAGTTTCAAACCCAACATTTTCTGATTACTGAACCCAAGCAAATATTGCTGTCTTAAAAACAAGTTTATACTTCAGGTTTCCCTAAATATATATGCCAAGTATCTTTATTTGGGTACAAATCCCATTTTAAATAAGAGAAAAAATAGGAAACAAAAAGTAGTTTTTATTTTCCAGTGATTGTGAGAAAACAGATTATATATATTCTACAAAATTCAAGGCACATGTATTCATTATTCATTTTTATCAAAAATAGCACCTTCAGAATAACTTATCTTGTTTTTCATACATGTTGCACTCTCCAGCAGTGAAATAATTGCACTGTCAATAGCAGAGATAACTCACTGAAAGAATGATACTGTAATGGGAATATCCTAAACAGTGAGGTCAGAGCAAGCAGGGTAGAACTAACAAAGCCTCTACCTCGATGTTCTGGCTTTGTTGGCATATTCCAAACTCTTAACCCTTGGCAGCCCAACTGGATGCTAAAATGCCATAGTGAAAGTTTCAAAGAAAGCATTTGTAGATTTGGGTTAAAATGCAAAAAAAAAAAAAAAAAACCAAAACCAAAACAAAACAAAAAAAAAAACCAAAAACCAATGCATTTTAGCTGTGGGACAGAGATTGAGACTCTGCAGCTTTAGAACTGAGCAGATTTGCAATGGCAATGACAGGGGAGCAGCAGGCATGAGGTGACAGTGGCATCAGTGCCCTCCCTGCCCTGAATGGATCTGCAACTTGGTCTTTATTCAACACTCACATTTCTGCAGAAGCCTTTTCAGAAAACAAGATGCACAAACAGAAGTAGTACATCTAGGACAAGCAGAATGATCCTTTGTGCTCTAATAAGCACTGGAAAGGCTTCATTGAGAGAGCTGCCTCTGCTTTTGGACATCACCTTCCCAGACAGGAATTAAAGGAGAGAGAATTGTTCAGGCAACAGCGGTGGTGACAAGAAACAATGTGAAATGTTTAAGCTTTATTGTTAAGGAAGATGATATAGAAGAGATTTGATAATATGTAAATGACTCCTTCATTTAATCCCTCCTTTATGGAAGGCAGTATCAGGAACAAGTGAAGCAAGAAAGATTTTGGCTAATAAATAGGAAAAAAAATCTAAAGATAAGGACAGTTATATAGTCATCTCCTCTCTAGAAGTGATGTTGACAGCTGTCAGGAATGACAGCAGTATGGTTGACTGTTTGGTGCAAAAGAATTAATTAGACAACCCCAGGGAGCCTGACTCTTGAGACTGCACTTGAAATACCTACACCTGTGTGTCTTTGAAACAAGATCCAAATGCATAGATATGTCTCAGAAGCACTGCAAAAAACTTCAGGGATTTGATTTTGTAATACAGTTGAGGAAGAGAGGCCATACCAAGATATGAGTTTCTTCCATATTTGAGAGAAATATTGAATAAATCTGAAGGTTGAAATTCTCAGTTGTAGACATTATTATGGATCCATTAAGATCCATTATGATGGATCTTGAGATCAAACAGATAAAAGCCTCCAACAGGGACAGTTTTGGATGAGTAGGACTGTCTCAAGTCCATAGGATTGACAGGCAAGTGTTGAAAAAAATATTCAAGCTGGTGCAAAAAAAAAAAAAAAAAAATCTGTAATGTTCCATTATCACTTCTTCAGTAATGTTTTCTCTATTAAAATAACATCTGCTGATTAATTAAACACCTTAGCATAATAATCAATGCACAAAAGAATAAACCTCCAATATTGATTAAAGCTTGCTTTGAAAACCGCTTTGAGCTCTTTAATCACAGTTTGTGGAGAGATGGTATTTTCTAGAACAAAACAGAACTGCATAGCAAGTGTGAAAGTGTGACAGAAGAAAGGTACAAAATATGTAACTGTTTAGCTGAGGATGTTGAAACAAAGCCTGTTTAGCAATAGAATAATGTGATGGGTAATTTACAGTGATCTGATGGAAGCTGACTGAATGCCAAATAACCTGGCTTAGTCACTTTTTTTTTCCCTTCCAGATAATTTGAGTATCTTTTTTCAAAGCTGGCTGTAATCAACACATGATATTAGTTACAAGACCACCTGCAAGGAACAAAAAGTAATGAACGTTGATGTTTCTTAGGGCCATTCAGGAGCAATGGGCTTGATCCTTGCTCTACCATCCAAGTACAGAAAATTATGAGGCTCCATGTGGATAACAAAATTGTTCCATGTAGTTTAGTCACTTCCAATTTTTTAAAGGTATAACAATTGCAATTTAAATTTATTTTTCCAAATTATTAATTTCAAGTTGATTATAATGCAAGGAAGTTTCACGTTCTGTTAAGTGTTGCTCTGATGAGCACCTCTACTTGAGGCTGTTTTCCTGAGAAACAGGGAATGGTGAAGTCTGTGGGACTTAAGAATACCTTCCCATGTAAATATGATTCTGGAAGGCCTCTTCCCATCTATGAACCAAAAAGGCAACCTTCATGGTAATTATCACAGCATTCTACATATATATGACAGAACCTGCCAGCCAAAACCTCTAAACCTACAATTATCCAGTGCAGCAATGCCAATTATCTGCATAAACATTTTTGTTTGGTACAATCCTTCTCTTTCTGTCACCAATACCCTGTTTTTACAGATGAGCCACATCCAGTTTTGTTTATCTTCAGTCTTTTTACCTACAATGCATTAACTAGTTCCAGTGGCTTTCTTGAAAGCATAATGACTTTTCCTGTACTCTAGTGAAAATATATCCCCACAAATCAAGAAGAAGCAGGTTCAGACTAAGTGGTTGAGAAGATTTACATTCTATTGCTAACTCAGTTATTACTCTGCTGAAAACCCCATAGCATCAATATAATGAATCCCTCAACCTCTGCTGCTAGCACAATTTTTCTTCCCAACCTCATTGGCTCCTAACTTTCTGCTTGACCTTTTACAATCTGTGTGTGGCAGAGCTTCATTACAACCTTTTAATGATGCACAAATGGCACACAACACCAAGGTCACAGCACATCCCCAGTGAGAACTTTTCCAACACCTCCTGAGCAGGCAAAGAGTTTTCATTTAAAGAGACAGTTCAGTGGGGAAACAAAACCTTACAATTTAGCATGAGTCTCAACAACTACTAATACCCACCAGAAATGGCCAGGTCATAAAAGGAGTATCTGCTCTCCCGAAAAGTTTTTTTTATAAAAGTTGATGTCTCAAGCTGTCAGTGACCAAATGAATAAAATGCCTCATTGAGGAAACTCAGAAAAATTACAGTGCTTTCTGTATAAAAATGATTTAATTCTTAAATATAGAAAAAAACATACAGGGGGGCTAGAACCATTTATCCATCTAAAATACCAGAAATTTTTCTAATATCCCAGTAGTCAGATTATGCATTCTGTACCAAATAATCACCAACTTTTTGTTAACATGATTTAATCTCTGATCGGCAATTTTCCAACTGGGATACAGGGATACCAATGTTTAGGCTTTTTTCAAAAGTATTTCAGGTTTTTTTGTACTGAGAGTCCTATATAAATTCAAAGCACCCTGCTATTCAAACATGTAGACTGTAAAGCACATTATTCAGTATTGGTTAATGCAAAGTCACTGCATACATGCATATATTGAGCGTCAGTTACTGCTGAAGCAGAGTATAATGTTTCAAGTGAATGTTTAATATTATTTTATATGATTTTTGTATATGGATCAATTAATGCTCAAACCCATAGAATTCCATCTAAAGTTACCTACTAGGCAATGGCGTGCTCCTTTACTCATGGCATTTTGATCTTCTCTTTATAATACATATATATGTATCTATAATAAATAATTCCATTCACTGTGTGCAGGTACCTGCATACAGAGGTGCACTCAATGCACTTTCCTTGCTCAGTTATTTTCTCTTACAATGGGAGAAATTAGGAATAACAAGCAATTCAGTGCAGGCAGACATTCCACTGTGCAGCTAATCTGTGAGGAGATTTAGGACCAAACTAACCTGTATCTCATGACTAAAATTACAGTGTTCATAGAATCACAGAACACTTCCAATGATGAGGATCCACATCTTCTCTGGACAGCTTGTTCCACCACCATCATTGTAAACAAAGTCTTCCTAATGCTCAGAATAAATGTTGCCTCATTCACCTTAAAACCATGGCCCCTTGTCCTGTCTGTACTTGGCAAAGTCTCCTTCCTTGCTCCTTACAGGCTCCTGTTATTTATCAAAAGGCCACAATGAGGTCTCCCTCTTTTCCAGGCAGAGCAATCCCAACTCTCTCAGCCTCTCTCCACAGCAGAGGTGCTCCAGCCCTCAGAACATTTTCGTATCCCTTGTCTGACCCTATTTAATGAGCCCACATCTTTCTTGCACTGGGGCCCCCAAACCTAGGTGCGGCACTGGAGGTGGGGTCTCACCAGAGCAGAGGGGCAGGATCACCTCTCCCAACCTGGTGATCAATTAATTGAATTAAATAGATCACTTTCTACTCCCTGAATTGTCACTGACACTTTTGACTCTCTCATTGTACTTTCTCCATTTGTAAAAATTACATTAAATTTACTTCTAACCCATGGAAGAGCATAATGATTGTTGAAGTCATGAAGATCTCTGAAATCCTAGGACACACAGCAATCTAAAAATGCAAGGCCATGTTTATGATTTTAGGTATTTGGCTGTTACTGAAAAGGAAACATCAGGAATCAAACACAATCCCTGATACTAGTACAGTTTTACTACTGACATACTGCCCTGGATCTGAAACAGTGTGAGAAAAAACCCAAAGCAACAAAAACCATTGATTGTGGGCACTTGAACTCTGCTTCCTTTGGACAAAGACTGCCAGGGTCGAACTCTCTTTTCATGACTTTCAAAGAAGTAACTACTAAATTGTTCTGGATTTACAACAACATAAATAAAAGCAGATACTGGCTGTGATCCTTCAAACAGCTTGTACAAATACACAGATTCGGTGCAGGAATACAATGTAAGTTTTATACTGAAAACCAATACATCTAATGCACTTAAAAAATGCCGCCAAACAAAAGCAACCACACAAAACCAACCAAAGAACACTATGGGTAAAACCAAAGTCAGGCTGGAGACAAAACCCCAAAGGCTCCTTTGTCACACTGCCCCAAAATCCTCACCCAGCCT